TGCACTAATTACCGACTCCTTACACCCAGACAGAAAGGCCATTTCAAAAGCCAGCATCCCCTTCCACCTCCAGCCCCTCTCCAGGGGCACCAGCACTTGCTGTTTCGGGACCCGCAAGGTCTCTCCGCTCAGGCTTATACCTCCTCACCCCTCTCTCCTCAGTCCTCCTTGTATGGGCACAGTAGCCAAAACGAGGTCCTTAAGCACGCTACATTTTTACATACATACAGGCTGTGGCAGCCACGCAGAAAGGAAGAAAATAATCACAGAATCAACAATTTAGGTAGGAAAAGAGTTCCAAGATCATGGAGTCCGACCTTTGACTGAACACCACTTTGTCAACTAGACCATTGCACTAAGTGCCATGTTCAGTCGTTTTGTGAACACGTCCAGGAATGGTGACTCCACCACCTCCCTGCACAGTGCATGCCGATGCTTGACAATTCATTCTGTGAAGAAATTCTTCCTGATGTTCAACCTGAATCTCCCCTGGCACATGAAAATGAATGCTAGGAAAGCTCAGTGCCTACCTAGGTAAGGGTGTTTCCCCAGTCAACTGCCAGGCCAGAAGCTGCCAGCTCCTGTAGCTCCTGGGAGGCAGCAGATGAGGTTCTTAAGATGCAGCCTATGTGAGTTTGTGATTGCCTGAGATCCTCCAGTGTAAGCAGGTACTTGACTCCCATGGGGGTAGGTTTGGAGAGCTTGCAGACTCATCACAAAAGATGGTAAGGTGGTGCCTACTGCCATGCTTTGCTTACATTATCTTGATGCCCACCACTACCAAACCCACCACACTCTGTGCTGATGAGAGCACACTTAGGTAAAAGCAATAAATCACAAAACTGCACAGGCTCCTCAATGAGCTAATACTTCCTGCAATTCAAGCCTTGTCTAAGTCAAATATTGGGAAAACTGGGAAATCCTTAAACTTGAACAATTTATGTTTTGCAGTTAAACAAAAAAAAATTGTCCATAGCCAAGGCTGGTGATAAATTTTTCAAAAAGGTTCATAAAAAATAAAAAAGGTGTTATATTATGTACAGGCAGTAAACAGACTACTGTTCACTTCTAATTTCACTGCCATCCGAAAGATTCATTTCCATAGCTCTTTTATGGGGAAACACATGGACTAGTTCAATTAAGCATTACTGAGAAATAACAATATTCCTTGCACAACTGTGTACAACTGTTTAAAAGGCAAGCAGAAGTGTCTCAAAACAGCAAGAAAATACTTGAAACATGTATTTTTAAAAATGTTTATTGAAATGCCTTCATTGCATCATGCAGGATACAAAAAATCATTATTAGAAAACTTTTATAACCATACTTAGGAGTAAAATCAAGATACATCAGGGAAAAAAAATAATAATAATAGTATAAACAAAGCAATTTGTTTCTGATAGTGTTTTAAATCATAGATTATAGGCTGTGATCTGCACAGATGATAACAATTATCTTGCGGTAACAGTCCCTTCTTTCATGATTCAAGTGGAAACTGATGTTTGTCATGCTAGGACAAACACTTCACCTGTGTACACCACAAAAAATTCAACCCCTTCGTTACAGGGTTTAAAAAGGATAACAAAAATATTCTGCCAGCATACTTCTATTCTGCTTTCAGTTCATTTGTTCCATCAAAAGCCATTAACTTTTCATCAAGAAAAACAAGAAGGCTAATGTGCTTTCTTCTATTACACAAACCACAGAGCACGTAAGGTTCGATTACTGAAACAGAACCTCTTCAAGTCATAATACAAGAGACTTTCTTGAAGTTCAGTTCAATTAAATAATTTACAATTTTGCAGTATTGGTCAAGGACTAATTTTAAAATGGGAGACCACTGCACCCTCAGTATTTTTGTTGTTTCAGGTATCACAGTCCCTGCTACTTAAAATTTTCAGGGATTTTTATTCATACACTGCTCAGTGTAAACGCTTAAAATTGCCTCTCTCTTTTTATCCTATTTGACAGCATTATTATGTGCAGATATACATGATACAAAAACAACAAAACAACTCTCTGGGGCTGAAAACTTGGCTCCAAAGAGTTCAGATAGGTAGACATTTTGGTGCTGGCTTCAAGGCAGGCAATGTTTGAGAGATTTCTGTAGAGCATTCACTTGGCACAGAGTAAGATTAGAACCATACTGGAACCTTACAACATAGAAGAAAATTGCTGTAGGGTCCAGAATCAGTTCATTCTGTTCAACAGGGAAGATTAAAAAAAGCCCTTCCTTATGAGGAAGTTGACACACGTGTTTCCATTTCACATCCTTGTGGGGAAAAAAAGCATTTTTATAAAGCAATCCTTCTCTCTTTTTGTTGAGCTCTATAGGTGCAGACTTTAAACATACAGTTGATGCCACTGAGTACTGAACACAGAGAATATCATACTTATTTAATTACATTAAAAGTCATGAAGAGTTTTGGCACTGTCCCCTTACAGAAAGTTAGGTACGACTAACAATATGAAAACATTATGATAAGGGAATTGTGTTAACTCTTTGGCTTTGTTGTAATACTTAATTTCTAAGGCAAGAACTGTGTGTACCTTAGGGTTGCTTTTTTGTTTGTAGTTTTATAAAATACTTGACTAAAAGTTTTTAAAAAGTCACCTAATCATCTATAAATGTCAAATGCTGCATATTAAAATATATGCTTATTACACCTTCTTGTTCCACTACTAGAATTTTTGCATACTGATGAGAACGCACACATTTGTAAACTGTTCAGTAGGAGTTTTTGAAGACATTCTCCATATAAGAGAATTTGTAGAAACGTATTGTTGAATCAAGATGCTGTAATTAAAATGCCTGATTATCCATTTTGGAGCACTACAATTCTCTCAACAGCTTTAGCTTTTTCAATTGCTATAAAGATCAACTAAAACAGGTAATGACTCCCCCTTTTCAATGCATTTGTAAACCCCTCTCAGTCTGAGGTTTCGGGTGCACATCATAAGGAGGTGGTTTCAGAGTATCCACTGGCTTTTCAGCTTTCACTACATATGGCTAACTTCATACATTATGTTATTGCAGTATGCCCTGTTGCTCCCCGTTTATTATAACATGAAATGGGTGTAGCCTTCTGCGCCTGTCACAATAACATCCATCCATATCCTCATGGCTTCTGGCGAAGGAGCAACCATATAGTATATGCGGTCATGGGTCTTAACACTGAAAGTGAGCAACGGGTTGGGACTCTAGAATAAAGCAGAAAGAAGGATATCAAAGGAATGAAATCAAAGGCATTCATCGGCACTAGAAGTGAAGTTGCTTACAGGGATATTTATGAGTAGGGTTAAGAACAATAAAGTACAAAATGCTGTACCACTGCATCATACGTTACAGCAGAGATGTGTTTGAAGTGTTTTTATCCACCATAAACAATTTTCACAGCATATTTCCACTAGACTTTCACACAGCTGTACAGGGCTCCAAGCTGTTGTTTCATGCCCAAATAACTAACTCCCCCACTCTGTCCGGTGTCTTTCACAAATCCACCAAGTCAAGGATATATTCAGTTTGTTCATGTAAATTACAGATGAGAGGCAGGGGGTGCTATGAGCTCCCATCCTGGGACAGATGTATACAGCTATCCCTTGATTTGCCAAAGCCACTGATTTCAGTGGTCTTGCCAGTGGACTAAGGAACTCCTTGCAGCAAATCCCACTTCACAGGTAAACAGTCTTGTCTCTGCTTTCATCAGTATAAAAAAAAACCCCCAGTGCTAATCACTGATTAGCTTCCTCTTCCTTTTACTCCACTCAAGGGTCTCTTTTTATGTTTGCTTTCTTTATCCCTCCCAACCAATAATGTCAGCTCTCCCTTTGACTTTAAAGAAGCTGCCATAGTTTGGGTACTGCTATATAATATGTGATTAAAACAGCAATAGCAAAGTTTACCTTATATGCATTCTTTAGATGATCATAATAGACTTCTTCAATAGCTTGAAAATATATTACACCTTTTAATTTAGTTTCATGTTTGTCTAAAATGGAAAAGAGAGAAGGGCTTGAGAACTGAAATGAACAGTACTTTAAGAAGCAAAAGCTTAATTTTAATTTCCATATATGTTCAGCTGATAAATAATTTGCTTAACAGTTCTGCCTGTGAAATCTCACAGAAACCTTCAGCCTTTCTTACTAGTTTGTCAGCTCTGTCGAGATGCATTTTTTACTTTAATATGTTTGGGTTTTTTCCACCTGGCTTCCAAGGAAAAAAGCTTTTGCAATTTCCTCTTCTATTTGCAAGTCACTCCCTTCACTGAAGTGTCCAAACATTATGGTCAGTATTAGCCCACAGAAGGACAGGTGTCTGAGAGATATATATCCATTCTTCCAGTTCCATGAAAGGGAGTCAGCTTGCAGGCTAAGACCTCCAGTTTGCCTTCAAAGGAAAACTGTTATGATAAGCAAATTTTAAATACAATCTGAGAGCAAAATTTATGCTTGTACTTTTCTTTTTTAACTTCCCATTTGCTTCAGAGGGCCTAAAGTAGGACCACCTGAATTGATAGTTTTCCAGGGAGGCTGCTAACAAGGAGCAGGTTGCTATCCAGTGGTACTGTGTTTCTGGTAATAATATCCCACTGCAGCAAAGCTGAATTATAGGCTGGGAGTTTTTTCCCTTGGGTTTTGACATGTACAGTGGGGACACAGTTGACTTTATCTCCCTTTAAAGGCAATGGAAACAAGCAGACACTTGCAGGGGTTCAATTCTAAACTATTTGAGACACCTTCTCATCCTGCCTTCTGTCCCAGCATTAGCTAGTGAATCATCAGGGCAAGGAGGGTACAGATTGTGAATTTGACATCTTAACAGTCCTAACTGTAATGTTTCACAAGAAAAAGGAGCAGGGCAGATCAGCATCTACCCTGCGTTTTCCTTCAATGTGAAGAGAAATTCTTATGCACCACAACTGCATGTGACACTGAAGGGCAAACTTCCTTCCACTCCCAGTACTTTTGTACTAGGGGAATATAATGCTTTCCGACCCCAAGTTATAGTACCACCTTAAGCCTGAACAATAGTGCAGAACATCTCCACCAGTCCCATGAGAGATTCCGCTGTCATTTTGAACACTCACAGAACTCGGCTTATATCCTATTGGTAGCTGCACCGAGTTTTGAAAGCTTCATAGGATGGCAAAATGAAATCCCAAAGAGAAAATGATACAGCATTGGGAATCTCCCTGCCAGCCCCCAGAGACCAGTAGAAGTATTGAGTTATATGATTATGAGATTATAGCACACTAAGCTAAATGCAATACTACACAAAGTATACTGTTTGTGCAGTACAAGCAAACAGGATCCACTCTCCTTTCAAGCCCCATCTGGGGCCTTAGTTATAGGAGTATTTCATGTACCCATAAATTCCCATTGCAACAATCTTTGCAGAGTTCCCTCTGTGCTTCAGGTCAGAAAGTGCAGATGCTTCACTCAACCACACTAAGTTGTCAGACTTTAGGGTAAGTTCTTTATTCAGTGCCCTTGCCGAACTAAAGCAATGTATCAGTATATTCACTTAGAGTTCAATTACTCTGAATTTACAGCATCAAATTTATTTTGAAAGTCTACTATGTATTTAAAGGTCTAGACAGATCCTCACTCATACAAGCAGCAGCATTTTTGTGCAGCTGGTACAGAATTCTCATAAAACTATGCTTCTTGGCTGGAGTCCTTAGGACATTATGAAAAGTTTTCTTTGGTAATTGAAATTATGTTAAGGCGACTGTACTGCACTCAAAACTGAATCTGTTAACTGTTAACATAACTACTAAACAATAAGAAAAAAAAGAACAGTACTAGATGGGAACACTACTGTATATTACAGGCCTTGCTAATCAATTAACCAGACATTAAGAACAAAATAAAAAATGTTTGCCACATCCTTCATAGTATTACTGCAAACTAGTGAGAAATATTCAGTGGGTATGTAATGAATGAATGCAATGAATTAAAATGTGTGTTTTAAAACAGACAGACAAAGAGCAATGCATAACCATCAATTTTAAGTTCCTTATGAGCCCCTGGAAAGCAGTAATGTCAAAAAAATAAATGAAACTGTGTGAGTGGTTTTTGTACTCAGTGTTTTCTTCTGCTTCTTAGCAATGACCATCCTACACATGGCCCCATAAAAATAAATGAAACTGTGTGTGTGGGTTTTTTACTCAGTGTTTTCTTCTGCTACTTAGCAATGACCATCCTACACATGGCCCTGTCTGGCCTCTCCTAACAGTAAATATTCAGATCGCAGTGTCATTTTTCTGGCTTCCTCTGAAACTTCAAAGACAAACCATGTGTATATTTGCACAGCAACTGGAGAAACATATATGTTCTTAAATTCCAAATCTCTGGGTTTACCCCAAGATAACAAAGTAGTGTAATGCTTATAATGGCTCTAGATATTGTATAGCACAACCAAGTGTACAGAAAACTCTTTAGAGTATTCCTTAGACTCTCAAGGCAAACTCAAAAAGTGTACTCCTGTATATTTAATTTCTGGAAAGTTTTTTCAGTACATCAAGCAACAGGACTGAAGCATTCAATGTAATTTTCATGGTAAGTATAATAAATGGATGAAGGGTACAAGAAACCATTATGTCATTAGGGGAAGCATGTAATATTTTAAAATAAATTATATGGAGCCATTATTCTGTGTACTTGGATCCTGATCATCTTCCATTTTTTTCCTCCTGCCTACCTGCATCTCTCCCTTTGCTTTTCTTTTTATGCTCATTTCTGCCTTACCTGGCTTTAGGATCGAACACTATAGGGGAAAGGATCACATGAGCTCTAAGAGTACATGTAAAACACTGAATGAAATGGAAACGTAAGTTTTATTCAGGACTCCCTACATGTTTGTAACTCAGCTGAGGCTGATAGGAAAATAGAGGTACAGATGTACACTAGGAGTGATCCTGCAACCTACCTGCATAATAAGTAAACGTTCTCTTGTTTCTGTCAAAAACAAACCATCGCTTTTTCCACGTTTTAATTTTTCCTCCCATTTTAATCAGAAAGCCTCGGCAGGTCTTCTCTGTGAGGGAGATATGGTAACAGGTCTCTATGTTGTGCCCAGCTGTTTCGATGTGACTTCGTAGGTCAAAGTCTTCCTTTCTAACAGGCAAATAGCGAGTCAAGGGTCGAGCCTACAGCAAAGAAAAGAAAATCATATTATTTTTTAAGAGAAACCTGAACTTCTCCTTCACTCTTTCTGCTGCAAGGACCTAACTGCAAACTGCTCATAGATTCTAAGAATGGATGTAAGAAAAATAAAGAGCTTTTTTTGCAGCCCTGATTGTCTTTGAAAGAAAAATCCTTTAAACTTATAACTTTATAGTGTTGGATAACTTTATAAAAGCCAGATAGAGCACAGATGTTTCTTGAAATCAACAGCTGATAAACTGGTAAATCAGAGGCCACAGCATAGAAAGGTTGTTTCAGAATTAAAACATTAATTAAAAGTAAAGGAGTGTTGCTGCTTTAGATGAAGTCCAAGAACCTAATTTTTATGATGTTAAGCAGTTTACTTCTCTGGGCTAAATACGAACTACACCTTTCTCATTCTTTAACATTTCACTGCTGCAGGCACTTTCATGCAAAGTATAATATAATTAGGACATGCTATTACAGGAAAAATTAATAGTGAGAATGAACTGTAATCACTACTTAGTTTCACAGAGATTGCGGTGAACAAAATAGAATTATTTTCTTCCGAATGAATGAAATGTGGTATCTAGTTCACAATCAGCAATATGGCATAGCGAGCTGAAGTGCACCCCTCTGCAAGAGATGGCAAAGCAGCACAGGAGATGGTGCCTCACTCTTGATTGCAGTTCAAGACTGCTCATCAAGCCTGGATAGGGTCAGTTGGGAGAACAAGCAGGAGAAGATAGTGATTTGGGACCTCTGCCAGCTGGGGGAATATGCTTGTTTTCTGTGCCTGGAGACTCCAGGCACAACCCCTTCCCGTCTCATTTTACACATGGAAAACATGTCTCCCAAGGCTCCTGCTGCAGCCAAGGCAGAGAGAGGCCATTTCAGAACAGAAGCTGATTTTAGGTGCTTTGAATGGTTTGTGAAAGATGCATCTCTCTCTCTCTCTTCCCCCGACTCCAGAGAAATCAGTGGCCTGAAAAAACTGATCAGCCCCTGCTCCATTCCTAAAGTTAGCCTACTAAATTCCACTAAGGTTAGCCTACTAAATCCCACTGTGAGTCTTGAATTGAAGGGACTTTCCCTCATTGCACTCTTCAGAACCTCTTCACACAACAGGAACTGTATTGCCTTCAAGAACCCTTAGCACCCTTCTAAAATTCTGCAGTCCTGTGTGACGCAAGCTGGCCCCAACTTCAAGTACAAAGGTGGAGTTCCTTGCTCTAGTTTATGTTGTGACAAAAAGGGCTGGGAAAAAACATTGGGTCTGACTGTACAAAGGAAAGAAAAAAGCTAGCAAAAAAATTGTAGTAATTTCTGACAGATACATTTTGTATTCCTGCCAATTCAGTCTTCAGCCTCTCTGCCAAGTCTGCCAATTAGCAGTAACTGATAGTGCATTCTATTACAACACATGCCTACTCTAATTTGGGATAAAGATACCAGCGTTGCATTGTTGTTTATGCCATACTTGAGCTGTCATCAAAATTTCTTAGAGAAAAAGAAGGCATTCAAGTAAGTAAAATTTAACATTTGTTATGTTAACATATGCTAACATAGAATCATCTATAAAAACAAAGGACTGGATACATTTAACCAGAAAAAGCTTAAAGTTCCTCTGGTGTTGTCCTATTGTTCTGATTTAGTGTTATCAATGATTTAACAAAAGGCAGTGCAGATAAAACCAGAAAGATATTCAAATATGATATGGAATCTTCTGCACACAAATACATGTATATATTAAGATGGATATATTATATATATTATATACATGTATATATTAAGATGGATGGTCTTTCTATACTCTATTAACAATGACTTCTTAGTCTGTTTGCTGTACCATATGGATCTTACTAGTTTTGGTGGGATAAACAAATAGGTAATACCTCTAAAGAAAGCTCAAGATACCTTTAAATCCTAAGCAGCATCAAATTTTGTAGGAGGTACTACTTTTAGAATTAAATAATGTTTCTCATGTTGTATAGTTCCAGTAACAGAAAAAATACTGTTTCTTCTATACAGTAGTCTTTATCTGGCCTTTGGGGTTTTTTTTGTGGTCAAATGTTTGGAAACAACAATTCATGTCCCCCCACAAACCCCACACTGATGGTTTATAAAACTAACACACAAATTTCTGTTGTCCTGGCTAAAATTCTGCTTTGCCCATATTCAGTAACAAACCTTAGAGAATTAGTATTTATACGTAAGATGCTAAATAGTTATCTATGCTATGTTTTAACTTTAAATGAATACTTGGGCATCTAAGGCTCCAAGAGCCTAATCATGCTTTTATCAAAACAGTTACACCTCACAAATACTAAATCCATCTATTCAGCTGAAAGCACTTCTCTTTATCATTCACAAAAATACACTTAATCCTTTCTGTACATGAAGAGGAAATCTTGCACTTCAAAACCATGTCATGTCAACACATCTCACCTGTGCTCTTTGTTTCTCACGTATTTTGACTTCCTTTTCAATTAATTTTTGCCTCTGGCTAGTTTCTTCTTCCAGTCTTTTCTCCAGTTGCTCTCTGCGGCGTTTTTCCTCTTCCAGAGCTCGTTTTTTAGCTTCCATCTCCCGTTCCTAAATACCACAGGACACACAGAACTCTATTATATGTGAAACTATAGTTGTTAATGTAATTTCTAAGCTCTGGCTAAATCCCATTTTGCCTCACAAGTAGGCAGAAATACATCTCCAGCACACTGGACAAATTTGGAATAAGAATTTAAAAGAGAAATTAAGGTGATTCTTAAGTAGCTCTCCTAGCTAGCACACTGGACAAATTGGGAATAAGAATTTAAAAGAGAAATGAAGGTGATTCTTAAGTAGCTCTCCTAGCAGGTGTCAGAACAGTGCTGACCTAGCTTCTCATGGGATTTTGCCATCAACTCACCTATTGAGACAGCAGCTATTGAATATGGGCTCAAAGGTGTCCTGTGAGGGTAAAGCCAAGGCAGGAGAGGTAATTTTAACCTGTCTACTAGGTGTAAACTATTTAGGGTTCAAGATTGCATTTAGGGGGATATTATCTAAATTAACATGCCTACTCTTAGTTTCACTCAAAACTATGCTTACCCTGGTCTCGAGCAGCCTAGTCTTTTCAGCATGTGCTTGTTTCAGAAGTCTCTCCATCTCTTCTATTCTTGCAACATTTGAAGTGCTAGCACTGCACAAAAAAAAGAAACCAAAACAACAACCCACCCTAGAGTTACTTAAAAGAACACTTGGTATTTAGAGAAACATTTTACAGTCCAACATTAGACAATTTAAGAATGGATTTAATAGTGTTCTGATCCAATTCAGTGCAGAAGCCACTAAAAAAAGAAAAAGATGTACTACTATTTGACAAGTTGATGAATGACTACAGCATTTCTGCTTCCTCTGTACTTTTAGCAGTGACAAATTTTATGCATTTCCAGAAAATAATGTCTCTCTCACCTTAAACATGGTTTACAGTACAACTTACATATTTTACATATGTCTGAATAAATTGTTTTCCTTTAAAGTCTGATATGGCTAGAAAATATTCTCAAACACCATCTAAAACAATCTGAATTAATTTTTCTTAAGGGAAGTTTTGTCATGGAAAATTAACTGCCTAACTTCCAACTTTTATCAACAAAATCAGCCCACAGTCTTTTCTTCCTTCACAACCAAAGTTTGCCTTGTGAGAAACTGAAGTATCTGTTGTAAAGGGTCTTTTTCTGGTTTTTATATTGATTTGGGCTTTTTGGTTGGTTGGTTTGTGTTCTTCTCCTTCTGGCATTGTCTGGAAGCTGCAGAAGAGTCAGAGAGAAACAGAAGAGCAAACAGCACCAGTGACATTCAACAGCCATTGGAGCTTCCCAGTCCTGGGAATCCTGGGCTGGAGATTGCACTTACAAGAGACAGCCCCGAGGTAGCTCAGAAACACACCATCTTCCTTCAAAATGGTCCGAGCAGCAAGCCAGAGACAGATAGATTTCATGGCACTGCACATTATATCACTGCAGAAATAGTTAATTTCCAGCCTGTCTCCAGCTATCAGAAACTTGCAGACTATCTGTTTAAAACAGAAATCCTTAAAAACAGTCCTAATGTTTTTACTTTAAAAAAACCAAAACCAACACTGACCAACCCAAAAAAGCTCAAACAAATGAGCCAGCAGAATGAATGCCACTGGTATTTTCTGAAACCCTTAACATTGCGGTGATAAAGACTACAAGGGAAAATGTGGGCTTCCCTTTCACAGGAAACAGATGCTGAATAAACCATGACGTGCTAGCCAAAAAAGCTGTCCCTGTGTTCTCACAAGGGATTCGTAATGCCATGACAAAGCTGTGCTTAATTATCAGCCTCCACTTATGCTTGTGAAACTGTGCAGAAATGAAAGCATTACCATAATGTCAGAAATAAAAATCAGACTGTCAGAAGAAAATTGTTTGCACACACTTTTGAGACTCAGCTGGACTTTTGACATAGATCACGGATGTTCCTTTGATCTGAGGAGTGGTGTCTGAGCTGACAGCCTCTGAGCATAAGAAAAGCAGCCAAAGGCTCTAAGCCTTTCAGTGTCATCTCTTCGTTTTTACTGACCCAGAAAAGGGAGAGGAAAGGGCAAAAAAAGGACTGCTGGAAGAGGTCTAAGTGTTTCAGCTTAATCATCTAGTTAGTTAACATGCTGAACTTGCAAGAACAAGTATACATCATCGATGGCAGGTGTCTTTGAGAAATTTCCTATCAGATGAAATTCCTTCCCGGTAGTGACCAGGGGAGGAAGCACCAATTTCTCTGTACATTTCAATATTATCCTTTCCATATTTTCATTTTCAATCCTCAAATAAACAGGTGATATGTAGTAAAACCTGATTATGAGGGGCTACACAAACATTCTGCCTGTCTAACCATCTCATATTTTCTTAACCAGTTAGCAGCATTCACACTACCATAGTCTCAACATATACATAGTCTCTTTATTCATTATGACCATTACAAGATCAGAAGGAAAGGTGATTTACCTGGAAATGTTGTCTGGTGAGCATGCTGATATGCTTGTCTCCATGCTGTCAGAACTGTCTAAGCTTAATGTATCAAAGGCATGGTCCTTGTAACTACGATCTGGGTAATGGAAACTATTCAAATACACATTGGATTCAGATGCTGTTCTGCTGTAGAACTCAGGAGACTTCTGCCTTTGGTTTTCACACATACGCTGATGGTTATACCCTATGAAGTACAGAGGCAACATTTATTTTATACAAAAATTTTGTGACCAGAACGTAACTTGTTAGCAGCACAAGCATTTTTTAACATCACCTCAGTCGTAACTGCACTGTGACCAAGGTACTACAACCTTACAGTTAATTTTACAAGTTAATCATAACCGAAATAAAAGCTTTAAATACTCATTTTATCTATGATGGACACAAATATATGCAGATTAGTATGACTGACTTTTGAACATACATTCTTGTATGTGTATTATGAAAATCTAATTTGAATGAATGAAATTTCCATTCTAAAATTAGGCCTAATCTAGAAAGTAATGCAGTTAAGTTCAGGGATCTCGATGAATTGACCCTGATTAAATTAGAGAAAGAAAAAAATAGTCCTGATATTCAGTGGTCTCAAGTACTTGTCTGGTTGATTTTATTGAATGTGATTATTTTTTGTCTGTTTGGGAAACTTTGCCTTCTGGTAACTGCAAGTTGGACTTTTAATTTCAGCTGAAATAATACAGGCTGCTTGTCACATCATCATAGTTACTAGTGTAGATGTACTTTTCTGGAGTTTTGAAACTGCAGTTGACCATACATGATTGAAGCAGATTCTTATAGCTCAAGGACTGTAAAGAAAGATAAGGTTTATGCAATGGTTATATCCTTTATGCTGTTATATTTCCATAAAATTATTCTTTCTGAAAAGCCATCCTTCTTGAACAGAGGGAGCTTTCGCTATGTGTCCTTTGAAAATGTCCCTTCAGAATTATTTTTACCTCATGTCTCCGAACAGAGGGAACTTTGGCTATGTGTCCTTTGAAAATGTCTCTTCAGAATTATTTTTACCTCATGTCTCCATTGCTCTTTGAAAATAATGCAGCAGAATTTATACAGACTTACAAAGAGGTTGTTGAGCTTGCCTGATGGAGAGGAGAGTATAATGACAGTTGTCATTTTAACTGCTGAAGTTATTTTACAGTGCCCTTCTAAGGGTTGTTTAATCTATGTGATTACAACACAGTCAGATTGCACATCTTTCCCTTCAGCGAATGCAAGAAGTGGGACTTTCTCACAGTTCTGATATGCAGTCAGGTTTATATTCTCTGCACATTCCTGACCCAAATTCTGAGCTGCTGGAAGATTAGGAAGGACTATTAGACTACATGAAAACCTCCCATTTGTACAAGAAGGCAGCCACTGACACTCCACATATTTAAGATAAACAGATGCAGGAAAAATGAAGACAATATACAAATCCAAAGTCCAGACAAAAATTTTTATTTTTTGCCATCCTGGAGTGGAGAGAGCCCCAGTTCAGGCAGCTAACAACTGCAGCTCTACCTTAGAAAGGCTCTGATATTCTCCAAAAGGTTATCTGAAAAACATGACTGAAGCTGAATAATTAAAGATCGTTATTAAAAAAATCATGCCCTACAAGCATTTCCAAGGCAGTTAGTTTCCTTCTCTCTTCCCTCTGCCATACAAAGATTTGTCACAGTTAAAGCTGGTTTCTAAGGAACTAACAGAACTTTACTCCCCATTTAAAAGAAAGTTGAATAGCAATATAAGTTCAATTGTATTGATTAGTAAAAGATACAAAAGGGACACAAATACACCTCAGCGGTCATAAGTAGCAGCATCACACCACACAGAGATTACTGACTCACATATGCAGTTTGTTTTTTGCCCCATTATTTTGGCAAATGCTGCTGTTATTGCAGGTAAACAATTACCTTTCATACTTGAACCTTTGGAATGACTAATTGCTCCTGTGAAATGATTATAAATTATTCATTGTGGAAAGAGAGAAAAAAATTAATTACTGAAAGAACTTTATTCAAACTCATGTTTTTCTACTGAGCCAAAACCTTGCCTACTCAGAAATCTTAATTCCGTATCTTATCATTCACTGAAATATAAACCCATCTAAAAGGCATAAAGCACAGGAGCTTTACAAATGCTCTCCTAAAGGAAAGTCAACTTTCCATTATGATAAAGAACTCATTTTTAAATAAAACTTTTCTCAGTTAAATTTATGTAATCATGCCAAATGTAACTAAACACTGCAAGAAATACACATTCATTTGGTTTCAAAATGAGATGCAGAAACAAAGCAAAACTCCATGTTCTCCTTTTCTCTTCATGCCATAAGCAACATGCAGCTCAAAGCTCAGGATCAGCTGTGTACCAACACCAGCTCACAACCAACCTGCCTCCATTACAGCCACACTTACACATTGGGCAGGCACAAGATGTTATTTAAGAAATCTTTAACTTCTCAGGTGCCTAGTCACACAACATGCATGTAAAAATATTAGACTCCTAGCATTTAAACTAAAATTTTCCCACAAGCCATGATTTGTACCAGCCAAGTCTAAGCTGATACAAGAGCTAAAATGTTTCTTGTTGCATTGGCTTGTGTTCTCTGTAGTAAAAGAGTAAACACTTAACAGCCATACTGTTGGGCAAAGTATTGCAAATATCCATGAAGCCATATAATTAAAGAAAAATATTCCAAAGGAGCTATTGCAGAATCACAGAATCAGGTATACCACCACAAAATTATGCTGAGGTCAGAACTAAAGGTGAAAGCTGTTATCCAAAGTGGCACTGTCAAGTATGTAAAAAAAATCCCACCAGTATTTCATAACAAAGATCACATTACATTTTGATTCCTAGTATGTCTTTTCTTTTTTCTTTCCCCCCACTTATTTTTAAAGATTGACATTAACGTGTCAAGATACATTTGATGTATGAAAACATGCCAAAGTAGGAAGCCTAAGTCTGTCTGCCTTGTCATTGTTACCCACAGATCTGCAAGGATTTCTGAATTTTCTGCTCTACTTGTGTGGCTATGAGCAAAGAAGCAAAAAAAATAGGCCTGTGAAAAGCCGTAGCTCTGCAGATATTAGCATTAACCAGAAGTTTTGTTGTGACAGGTTATTTGACAGCAAGAAGAAGAGTTTTAGAAGTGCTATCATTATTTAACAATTTTTTAAAAGTTTTCCAAGAGTCTCAGAACTACTTGACAGTGCTGATGCAACTAGTACTTTTGCAAAAACATAACATGATAGATACAGCCAGGTAAAGAGATGTTTCATACCTTTTCGGGCTTTTCCTGAGTTTGATAAGAAAAAAAGTGAAAAACACACAAAAAACCTCCAAAAAACAAACTGCTTTGAAAAGCTTGTAAAGTATTTGTACAAATATTCTTCCCTACAGTATACTGGGGTTTTTAGTGATAACACGGACAATATCTTTAAACTAGCTGAGCTGCCACTTGCTCCAGGCAGCACTGAATATACTTATTTTCAGATCTATACACACACACCAAAACGTGGTCTAGAAGTTTGCTTAATGCTGTTAAACCCTAAGGAACACAGTAAGCTATTAATGCCACTTTCAGGAGTGCATTATCTTCTTTGTCTAGTGGCACACTATGATATCCAGGGCTCCAGACTGAGTGGCTAAAGTGGCATTTACCATGCAAGACCCTGGCTCTCCACTGACCCGAGCACTCCCAGTTCCAGTGCACTGGGCGCAGCTCTATGCTCAAGGTATCAGGAAGCTGAGACTCCCATGTCATTTGTGATAGATCACCTTGAACACAGAAAACTGATGGAGTGAAAAACCTGTCAAGTGGGAAAAGAAATGCAAGGAAAGCAAGCAGTGGCTCAGTACACATGACTGGTAAAGAACACTTTATATGTATTCATCACCTTTTTAGGTGAACAACTAATTTTTGGAGCAGGAAGAGAAGTGAGCTCATTTATCAGTATAATCAGTATTTATACATTTGCAGAGTTCCACTGATTTGTTAGAAAATCTTACTCCTCAGAAATAATCACTTAGTCTGAAAAGGCAAACCTGATCTACCTCAAGAATGTTCTTGCAATAAATATGCTCTATTATATGATAAACATTTGTCATGGAGTGATGGAATAAGAGAGCATCTCCAAGGACATCCACTGACAGGACATTTGGCTTGGTTTTTAATGATGTGTTTAAGGATGTCTGCCAAAATTAATCTGAGTTACTCAGGCTCAAGTCACACGGATTTTAATGGAAGACAAGTAAGATTTCAGAATTTTAATGGACAGTAGTATTCCATTTCAGTTGTACTGTGTGGTATGATGAAATAGTATCACAGAATCACAGATATTCAGACTTAGAAGGCACCCACAAGGATCTTTGAGTCAAACCTTTGGCCCTGCACAGGACATCCCCAAGAATCACACCAAATGCCTGAGAGTACTGTCCAAAAGCTTCTTGAACTCTGTCAGGCTTGGTGCTCTGACCACTTGCATTGGTACATCATATTCAGAACATTGACCAAATCTCACTGTTCCACAGAAATGCACTTTCTTTACTTGCAACTTTGAAGAAAGTTTCTTTTCACTCCATGTGCTGAGCTTGGGTATGAAGCGCTAGGGGAAATCAGAAATCACACCAAGTGGAACTCAGTCCCTTTCCTTCTCATATGACAACGTCTATTAAGGTTATGCCCATAAGGATGAATGAAAGGTGTCGACAACATCTATTAAGGCTATGCCCATAAGGATGAATGAAAGGTGTCTGAAGACTGTTTCTTTAGCCCTTCTGTAGAGCTGGATAGAAATATTCTAGGATCTGACTCCAGCCACCTGACTTGGATATCTCTGCCCTTGCTAAATTCTGCACTGCAGAAAGAGCCCTGCAAACACTTTTGTGGTGTGTTACCCAGACAAAGGAGCTTTGCCCAACCTAGAAACATGGCACCTCAGTGCAAAAGCAGTTCACTCTTCAAGTTCTTCCAACAGCAGTAAATTCAGGGAGCTTGATGTTGAACACTAACTACTAAGAGAGGCCATAAACAATTTCTGTGTTCCTATATCCTTCCTGTTTCAACTCTCTCTTACTTTGCAAATCCTGTGACAGCTCAAGTACAGCACCTGTCAGCAGCATTATTTCCCTTTGGCAAAGCTGATGTTTCAGAAAAGGACATCTGGAGATGCCCTATTTCCCAGTACAAATTAATCCCTTAAGGGTCTCTTCATAATTTACTCTTTCCATTCAAACTGTAGGATTTTTCAAAAAGTAACAGTAAACTAGTATGGTGAGCAGCATAGCATATGATTCCTCAATGGCATATGAAAATTGCTGTGCCAAGTGCCTTAATGAATACATCTCTCTCATTCTCCCGTGCTCCTCTTCTTTGTCAGGCCATAATTCAGTTTTGATTTGTGAAGTTTCTTTCTCACTCTTATGACAAGATTGTCTTAGTTGCATGGTGAAAAAAATTAAACATTAAAACTGATTTATTTTTAAAACTCTTGGTGTGTGTAGATTTGGTAACACTTGGTAATTGTGTCTTAGGTCACACACTAACACTCTTTGCAACCATTTTACAGAAATACTTCCCATTTTAAACACTTGATCTCTCGTCAAAGTTTAGCCAAAACATCCTTATTGATTTTCAAACAATGTCACAATGATGAACCTAAACATACTTGCAAACTATTCCACCTTTGCACACACATTACATCAAAGAAGCTTTCCAAGCTGAGCATGGAGCTCCTTTTGTATTGCATCTGGAATACTTAAGGCTAAGTTAGCCACAACACAGTAGGGTTGTGTAAAGCCTACTGCGTAACTACAGTTCAAAACCCACCAATCACAACTGGATCAGCTCTGTAAAAGGAATGTAGTAAGTCAGGATACTTTCTCAGCATGCTTGTTCTGTCCTGGTATTGAGTCATCTTGGTGCATATGTCTGACCTCAGTCATCCTCTTTGACCTGTAACAGCTGCTAGCTCTGACAAATCCTACAACAGGATGGATCCTATCTTAGCTCGGGCTTAGTCAGTGCAATTCCACATGAGGACCTCCTGCACTAATATCGATAACGGTGATGCAGATACCAGAAAGAAAATAAACTGACAGATGGCATCGAGGAGTGACTCCATCTGAGGATGGGACAATTAGGAATAATGAATCTCATTAAAGCAGAAAATAAGTGGATTGGCTCAAGCTGACAAACAACGGACATGGAATCCCATGGGCCTACAAGATCACATTTCAGAGATGTAACTTGCTCTTGGATCCAGAATTGCCCTGCCCCTATCACAAAAACACAGCCATCTATCCACAATAGAACACCTCACTGTCTTCCTATTCTGTAGCCCAAATATTTAAGACCACTTATAGTACCACAGTCACAGATTCTCATAGGTACCTCTGTCTGGGGAATTTATCTGGGCAAAAATATATGCCTGTGAAACACAATTTTTAAGGTCACAACATTAAAAAGAAAGGAATAAAAAAAAAGGAAGCAAGATGCAATATATTGCTTCAAAATCACTCACAGAAACTATCTGGTTAACACAAAGTGTATTTTTCAATATACTTTTCTTGTTTACTGGATTATATTTGGTGTCCACGTACTTCAAAACTGCACGTGCACCTGTCATAATATTAATACCTTATTTTGCCGATATCAAAAAAGTAAATTACATTTTGAGCTTGCTTTTTTTTTCACCAAGAAGTAAACTTTTATCGTGCAGACCTGTTGATTATAGCAACAGCAGTTTCAGGCTTATTTCCTGAAAAACTGAACACTGACTTTAAACAGAAATGAAGCAAGTAAAAAGGCCTTACCTTTGTGCATCCTTCTCGACTCTGACTCTTTGGTCATGGTTGCCAGGCAGTGAGGAAGTACACTCCCACAGCTGTTGCTCTGTCCTAATGGCAAATGTCCCTGCAGGAAATATTGTAAATACGTGTTTAAAATTACATTTCAAGACCTTTTTTTTTGGCATCAGCAACTAATGGTAAAATAACTTGCTTTGTCATGAGTATCAACATCATGTTATATCAATCAGCCATGAATGTTACAGTTGTGCACAGTCTCCATCAGGCCAAAATGTTTTCAAAGTAGTATCTCCACCTTCCTGCTGTTTGTTGATTTACCACGCCATGAATAAAGAGTATTTTCCCTTTACATATAACCTTATCTTTGCCATTTAGAGGCCTCAAGGAGGAAAGGAAACAACATGTTTTGTCTCTAGAATCAATTCAAACAAGCCTGAAAATACAATCCTTGAGATAGAAACCCTGCATTTATGATTGATGTATTATAGCATGGCAGAGGTCAGAATAATGGCTGGAGTTAAAGAAGGCTTCGTATATATTCCCACATGTTAATAAACCTGAAGTTCTTTCAAAGCCCATTTCAGATGTGAATTTGGGGGATTACATAATGCTTACAGTGCTACCCAGCCTTACCTCTTAACACAGTAAAGGCTTTTACACAGACACTGGAAGGCTATCAACAGCATGCAGCTACGTACTTTGGATGCAATGTTTCGCCCAAGCGTAGCACTGTTGAAGTGTGGTGATACAGATGGAGTAGTTTTCTTACGAGGTAACGTGTCACTCATGTATGTGCATTCCCTGTGCTGCTTCTTGCGCTCTTCCATGTTTCTGAAATGCTTCAAATGCAATTTGTTAGTTTTGACAACATGAATTGACACACTTGCTCAGCTATGCTCTATTCAGAACATACTGAAGTTGATAGCCTGGAGAGAACAAAATCTAAACAACAGAGTACCTCCTGCTTCACAGTGCTTTCCAGGATTTCTACAAATATCACATTACAATCACACTGATTTTAAAAAAAACATTAAATTCATGTGCACATTTTGTGTATGTTTCCCTGTACCTATTTTTTGTTTGTTTGAAAAACTCAAGCCTACTGTACAAGTGGAATCCAATAACAAAGGAAAACTTTTATTTACAAGTTGTCCTAATGAATTGGTGGCTTAAAACCACTACAGCTTTTGAAAGGTATTGTTCAAATGTATATGAACAATTAATTTAGGATTTCAAATGTAGCCACATGTATTTTATTGCTGCAAGTCCTCTGACAGTTACAATGGCTCCTGAATATTAATATCAGCCTCTGCATTGATAATATAAGGGGAATTTTTGTTCAGTAACATTCTATAATGCATTGTGTTGATGTTTAAATGAGCAATGCCTTTAAGTGCAAGCATGATCAACTTATGATCTATAATATCACTCTAAAAGCTTCACACATAAATCAAATCCATGGCCACTATAACAAAACCAAACCAAATAAAATAATGCCAAGTTATCAGCTTTGAATCTGTTACCTGTTGTTGCCTGCGGTGTTTCTTAGCTGGCAGAGGTGGAGGTGTATCAGATAAAGGAATAGGATCTACATGAGTAGCCATGACCTCAGGCCAATGGACTGATGGAAGTTGAGCAATAGAGCGAGGAGAAAGAGAGTGAGGAAACACAAATCCAGAACAGAGAGGTGATCTTAGCTTTATAGAAAAAAGAGAAATTACACACAGAGTTTTCTTTTTGGAATTTCTCAAGAGATACGGCACATACAAGCTGCAGTTTTAGCACTGTGTTTGTTGGCATGTTTAGCAGGAAAGAAGGTGTGTTGTATTGCAACTCTCAAGGCATATTGAGCTACCAGAAGCAGCACAGAAATGCCAAATTCTAAACCAGTTGCTGCCTTATTGCAACACAAAGTTAGGTAGCTTTACATTCATAAGTATATTCCATTCCTTTAAAAGGGGATTTATTTCAAATTCGTTTAGGTTGTTACAAAGGAAAAAATATCACAAAGAATGAGGAAAAGAGAGAGTAAGCTAGAAGACAGACTGGACAGATTCTGTATAATACGAGTAGAATCTTCTACCTAAGATAGGTAGAAGCTACTCATCTCCCACACGTATTCAAGATACACTTCTACCACCTTACAGGAGGGGGTGGGGGAAAGAAGCTACAAAACACACAAAATGAACACCTGAGCACCATCGATCAAGTCATCACTATGCATGTTCACAGACTGTTTCCCAAAGGTGCATTACATTAGAGTGTTCAACAGGCAAAGATTGTCACTTATTGCTCCTTGCATCATAAGCATTCAGGGTTTTTAGCCTTCAGAGTCCCATCTACCTTATCAAAGACACTTTACAACTGGAGTAGTCCTGCAGCTTAACTATTAAACCTATTATCCAACTTGGTAACTGGCAGATGTCGATTTGCCTTAGGGTCAATTTGTTACATGTTGAATAAAAAAAAAAAAAAAAAGAAAAAAAGAAAAAAAAAGTCAGCTGTGAAAGAACAATGCAAACAAAGGGAAATGTCTCTCAAACAAACCTCTTTATTTTGTGGCTGGCTCGTCAGCACAGCCGTGGAAGGCTCAGTGGCAACTGCTTCAGCATCTGTGGGGGTCTGAGTGGAAGGGGATATACTCGTGGAATTGCCATACAGCTCACTAATTTCACTTACACTGATATAGCCCTAAAAGGAGGAATGCAGAAGTTAAAAGGAGCAAAAGCCAAAAGACGTGCAAGAGTATTAATGTACGATGAAGGTTAGTTTAGAGTGATACAGCCAAATATTTGTTATCATTGAAATATTTAATCATAAATTAAATAAAATCAGCATCAAGCCTTTCAAATGTTAAACATTTGGGTTCTGAAAATTGTTCTTCATTTAATTCCAAAAACATTTGTGCAATCAAAATGCAAATGTGCATTAAGTGTCCAAAAGATTCTACTAAAATGTAAATACGCTTTGGAAATTATGTAGCTCTTTCTCAGGAAAGCAGGCTGGGGGATAAGGAAGAACAAATCTTATTTTTATCTCTTAATTATTTTTGTCCATGTTTAAATAAAATACCCTGACTTGTGTCTTGCCTAACTTATTAAGCTAATTTGAGTAAACCAAATGACTAACAGAACTGGGAAGAACTTGCATAAGGACAAGCCATTGCTATAAATTACACTAACACAACTTCCATTTGCATTGTCTGGAAGACACCTTTAACTTTTATACATTACCAGAAGAGTCAAGTAAGATGCTGTTAGTGCTAGCCCCACAACCATTACAATTTGCCTCCTTTTTTTTAAAAAAATTATTTAAACAGTCATACAGGAGGTGACAGACTGAGAGATGACAAGGACATCAAGAACTTGCTGCTGCCTGCAGAGAAGATGTATGCAGGCAGATTTGAGATACAATGGCAAAATACAATTATTGCATCTGTTTTGGTCTTAACTGAACAAAAGTTATTTAAAAAATAAAATATGGATTCTAATCCATTGTGTACAGGATGCCAGGCTGTGCAAAGTCAAATGACCTCTTTTCTTATCCATAGAAAGTAAGACTATGCAAAAGGAAGTTGAAGCAATGCTATAAAAATGAGATAGACATATGATTATTTTTTAAATCAAGATGGTAAGCTGCTTTTACATTGGCAATGTGTTGCAGGGGCTATGTTCTGATTACTGCACCAGCATAGTGACATAGAGGTTTGTATACTTCAGCAATTCAGTAAGGGAAGCCACAGACTCCTATAGCATTTCTTCTTTTTTAAACTGCCTAAATTTAGCAATGATCATAGAAGGCAAGTTGAAAAAATGCTAACTTTGCTATTTATTAGCCTAATTTTCAATGTATTTTATCAGTTACTTCAGGCAGATAAGGCAATTCTGGAAAATTAGGTATCATACTGTGAACACAGCACTCTACAAATAAGAGGCAAATTTTAACTCTGATACTATTTGATGATCTATTAAATGAAGACACTGAGTAAGACACTAGTTTATCTCTCAATGCGTGTGACCATACTACAGTAAAATAGAGTCCAGTATGGAATAACATAAAACTTGCTTAACCATCTTGTAGTAGCAGTTTATCAGTAACCAAGTCCACAAAGGCAATATTGCATTCTTTTTTAAAGATAACATCACCATTATATGAAATTTATTTTACCATTATATGAAAAACATTCAGTTCTGACTCACAGTGCCAATGAGGATTCACCATGGGGGTAAAAAACCAAAGAATAAATGACTGTACTGTGCATTAGCTCAGGCCCCTTATTAAATTAAATGAAATAAATGGGTTTGAGTCAGATTAGTCATCCAAGTCATTTTGTCAATGCTGAACTTTTACACAGCATTGATTTTCCTTGCTCAGTAGTGGGATAAGTATCCTGCCTCTTTATGTGAGGCTGTGTTACTCTCTTGCTGTGTAGGCAAGCTTCATAATGGATGGAAGAGAGTTACAAATATGTGCTTTGGTGAAGAGGCCCTGGGAAATATTGGATCACAGACTTGACTGATGCGTGAGCAACCACATGGTGAAATTAACTTCTGCATGCCAGCACAAGTGTGCCATTCGGTGCCTGAGTTTTAAAGGAGCCAGAACAGTCAGTGAAAAATTAAACTGGACTGAGACAAACACAACATCTGGCAAAGAAAGGCATTTCTTTTATAGGACAGAGCCTATGAGAACACTGAGGATGAAACAAATAACCCATGCAGTCCCTTCTCTTACTTGCCTCGGAGTACATCCTAACTGACTTCACTGCAGTGAACAGAATGATGCCACTGAATAATCCATTTCATTAAAAAGAGTGTTGGTTCACTTAATGCAGTTGCATTTTGAAATAGGTGATTAAACAAGCCATTACATGGCTGTGAAGAAAAAAAAAAATCAGAGATAGCACCCACTTTCTAGTGAGATACTGAACATATCCACCTCAAAAGGAAAAATAAAAAGAAGCTTAGACTTGCCAGATGTCCTGGTGGGAAGTCATATCACAACCTAGGACACAAAATCTAAGCATCTGCAATGTGGCTTGCAATAAGGAAGGGTGCTCAATCCCACTGGAACGTGAAACTTCACACCAGGATCTTGGAGACCAAATAAGCAAGATCCTGATTCCCAGGTGCTGAAAGGATGTGTGTGGTTTCTTTACACTTCAAGAGCCAAATTCCCCACAGTGACACCTACACCATTGTGGCAGGTGTGGCAGACCTTGTTCAGGGCTTTGGTACAAGCAGATCCAGCAAGTCCAGTCAGACCTCTCAAGCAATAGTTAATTAAGCAGCCATAAATACCTGTCAGTGTATTTTAAATGCTAATTTTTCCCCTCACTCTAACTATTCAAAAAAGTTAAATAGCTCAATATATATCTCACAACCACAACAGCTTGAAGTCTTCAATTCAATGCATTTTAAAAAGAACAAAATGTACACTTGTCATGCTTTACTAGAGAGCCTTAGAATAAGGGAGGGGAGGCAATGTCTACATTGCAAAAATAAGTGCAAAAATAAGACTGAACTGTATTTGTAAAGTCTACAGTGCAAAAATAAGACTGAACTGTATTTGTACTTGAACAGTTATTCCCGGACCTCATTCTTCTTCACATCAATGAGGCTTAATTGTCTATTTTGAGAAAATTAGACATACACACACACTTCACACACATAAAAACAATCATTTTTCCATAGCAAGAGATTAAGGCGATACCAATCACATCTGTGAAAATGTCAAGAGAAGCTATTTTTGCTCACTCATGAATTTGAACTTCCATTAATAACTCACAAAAATATATAAAATTACTCGGTAAAGATGTGATGACTAGGACTTCACTAAATACTGGAGTGCTTTTTTATGAAGTGTTATTAAAAGTTACTTATGGTAAAGTCAAAAACAGTGAAACTCTTTACCTCTTTCAGACTATTGGGACTGACAGGAAATCCCTTTCCTCCTGAAAGTGTGGAATATTTCTTTTCCAGATTACAGAGATTCTCTTTTTCCTGTTAAAAACAGACATTTTATGGTAAATACCAACAGTCACGTTGTGAAAATAAATGTCAGCTGTTTTCCTAATTGTGTAAAGAACCATGCTGGGATAGAAGGCAGAAACTGCACAGCTGAGCTTCAGCTTCATCCATTTACAGCAGAACTGAACAAAAAATGGTGGTACAGAATGAAAAGCTAGTGCAAGATTTTATTTAATAGCCACAGCCAAAACAAGTAAGTGTTCCTTCAACATCTTGAAAGTGCTGATTCTGCTTAGTGAACTAAAGGTGATTTCTCTCATGATTGAAAGTCAAACATAAAATGGATGAAAAGGGTTCATGTCAGCTTCTCATTAACCAGATAACATACTGATACTAAGTAGCTCATCTTGTGGTCTAGCAGGGGCTATTGCAAGTCAAAAATCTGAGCCCTCTATGCACAGTTCCAGCAGCCTCACAGGGAGCACACGCTTCTAGCTTCAGCACCCAGGTGGGTGCCTCTGGTTGAGTCCTCTGGAAAGGAGGCACCTCACTAAAACCCTTTTGATTATCAAATGCCACTAGGGTTTTCTCTTCAGAAATCTGATGATTAATTGAAAAGATTTTTTTTAAGGTGGATGGATACGAACCTTGTCTAACACATTATACCCACTTGCTAGCTTCTGCACAACTGATGCTTTCGTTGTGCTCTACATTCTTTTATTCTATGAGACACTCTTATATTACATGCTAAAAATGTCAGAAAGACTCACCCTTTGCAGCATCATTATTAAGTTGTTTTTCTCCTTTACAAAATGATCTTGTTCTCTTTGTGCTTGTTGGACAATATGATTGGCTTGTTTTTTGAGGGCAGAAATCTTTTCCTAATATGAAAAGAAAATAATCACAATTTACATGTTTTATTTTCAAAGCACATGACAACTTGCAGCACGAATCCTATTCATGAGAGTTCACTCATTCTTATGAGTGAAGCAGCAGGAAAGGAAGTTTCTATAAGACAGTTCATTGCTGTGGAGATAATTAAATATGATTTAGACAGTAAAGAGACAACTTATTCAAGACACAAAAGAATAATTGCACATATTCTTTGATAATACAGTGACTAGCATCCATATACTGAAAAGAACTGGCTTAGAGATCCAACCTCTGATCTCTGAAAAACTGGTATTTAATTAGTTGAGACAGGTCCTTTACAACTGATTTCTAAAATTACTGTATTTTCTTAATTTGGTGTTCTATTATTTTCTTAACAAAATCATTTGACATCAACATCAATCACAAATCTAAATTAACTGTAGTTATGTCCAGAGTGTACAAGTTTCCTTTCTTAAAGAACTGTAAACAATTCTCTGGAAATTTTTTTTTTGCAGCAAATTAAATGGTTTAATTTTCAGGGCATGAAATGTTATTGATTTGTTTCCTTTTGGAGAATTGCATGATTTGATCTGTGTGGGATGTTGCTGGGACATTGTCTTTGCTCTGTTTCAAAAGCTTTTTCAAAGAAGAAAGTTTTGCATGATTTCTTGCAGACGGGCAGATTGTAGATCCATTTCATCTCCTTTAATGCTCAACAACAAGTGTTAGTGCTTTTACCTTTCTACTGACAATGCTGCGCTGATATTCAGCTACTTCATGCAGGAGCTGTTGGGTCAGATTTTCCTTCTCTTCATCTAACCTGCTTTCATGTTCAAGCTGCTGAAATTCCAAATCTTCGAAGTGTTTGCTTTCTATGTCCAGAAGATCAGCATCCTTAAGGGGGGAAGAAAAGGCAACATAAGAAAGTAATCATGCTTTTGACATGACACTGACACCAGAATAGAGGTGTTTACACAAAGATCAATCTAAAATTATGTATCTCATACATGTCCCACCAGGAGCTCAATGTTTTTAATTTCCTACTGTCATAATAAGAGAGCAAATAGGGCTAATTGTTATTTTGATGTTGCTTTCTCCATCACACTTACCATGTCTCCTGCTGAGAAGCACCTGCACAGTGAGGGAGATGTTTTGCAGTGTTCAGAGCAAGCTGGAGCCTCCCAAGCAGGCTGCTCAGATTGCTCTGCTGTTGCCTAGAGGGGACACCACCAAAGGCTGAACCCATCTGGTGATTGTCACATGTCAAACTGGGAGAGCATCTGCTTACCAACCAAAGGACAGAAAGTATCATCCCAGTAACACTGGAGAACTCATTATGGGAATGCACACTCAAACAAAGAAATCTGAACTGCAGTTAGAAGCTCTTGAGGTCTAGTCCAAGTACCAGCACTGGTACCCATTAACAGACACACAGCTAGATAAGGCAAAAGAGACATGGAGCCGTGTGCCACCAGCACACTCTCAGCACCACAGCAGTCATGTCCAACCAGGCAAGCTGCCCAGCCAGAGGCTAATTGTGGACACTGAACTGGAGCTGAAAACTGCAATTAAGGATCTAGTCATCCACCCTAACCAGCAGGCATGTAACTTCAGAAAAGCTATCAGCCCACTTTTATGCATTCTGCCAGATGGACAACAGGTTTTGTGAAAAAAAAAAAGAAGTGGAATGCTGCAGAAAAGACCCAAGAAATAAGAACACACCTGTCTTCCACTTAGGGGTGATCAGGTAAAAATCATGGTGCTTTTCAGTATAAGAACTAAATACTAATATTTCTCCTGCAGGATCTGTGCATTCATAATATGAATTCCTGCTTACAAATTTCAGAGTTCTGAAGAAAAGTTTTTTTTGAATAATCACAACATTAATACATGCCAAGGTTCTCTAAAATAAGTACATTGTACATAAGTTGCTACACAAGAAAATCTACATCCTGGAAGCAATTTATTATTTTAGAGGAATGCAAACTTACTCCTTTTCTTATTTCAACCTAAGGCAAAGGTAACTGCCATAAGCAGATAGGTTTCTATGAAAGGCATTCAACAGCAACTTCCAAAGTACCAGGAAAAGATACAGGATACAGAAACTGAAGGAAATACCAACATCTTCCCATTATTATCCAGAAATGTGCCCTTCACTTGTAGGAGATGGTGAAGAGATCAAAAACACAGGTGTGAGCTAAAAATTACATGAAAACAGCTACCTACAATAGGGAAAACCTTCACTCAAAATGGTCAGACATCTTCAGCATCCAAAATAAACAGAACAGCTTTGCCTGAGCCATGAAAGTCAATAAAATCAGCCTATTGCATACCACATTAATTGCTACTGAGGCAGAAGAACAGACTTTAGAGAAGGCAACCAATAGGCAAAAAGATGACTCGGGCATTTAAAATATACTTCCTGTCCAACAGGGAGAGTGTATATGCAGGTGGGACAAAGGGAAGCCAAGAGTCAAGAAGTCAAGAGTCAGCTCCCAACCCAAACTCCAGACCCACCCTGCAGCCAGCTGCTACAGTGAACTTGGCTTTGCACTCCGCTGGGCACAAAATACCAAGTTACTGAAGCCCCAGAGACAAAGCAATAAGGTAATTCATCTCCTTCACACCTTCCTCATTGGCAGTAAAGTAGCACAACTTAACCTGCTGCAGACTCAGGTATTTCATAGAATGGTTTGGGGGTGGAAGGGACTGTAAAAATCATTTATTACCTTACACTAGACCAAGTTGCTCAAAGTCCCATCCAACCTGACCTTGATTGAACACCTCCAGCTGCTCTGGGCCACCCGTTTCTGTGCCTCACCACCCTCAGATTGAGGAAGAAATCCTTTACTCAAATATACACCTGCTGCCCTACAGTTTAAAGCCATTACCCCTTCCCCCGTCACTACCTGCTCTTGTAAAAGCTCCCCCTCCAGCTTTCTTGTAGCTCAGCTTTAGGCACTTGAAGGCTGCTATAAGGTCTCCCTGGAGCATTCTCTTCTGCTGGCTTAAGAATCCCATCTCTCTCAGCCTGTCTTCATAGGAGACATGCTTCAGCCCTCTCATCATCTTTGTGACCTCCTCTGGACTTTCTCCAATAGGTCCATGTCTTTCTTTTGTTGGTAGCCCCAGAGCTGGGCTTATTTTGGGAGAAGATGGTATTTTCTCTGCTTCACAGAATATTCAGAGTTGGAAGGGACCCAAGCGGATCATCGAGTTCAACTCTTCGCCCTGCACAGGACATCCCTGAGAATCACACCATGTGCCTGAGAGCAGAGTTCAAGAAGGGTTTGGACAATGTTGGGTTTGGTGCTATGACCACTTTGTGGGGAGCCTGTTCCAGTGCCCAGCCACCCTCTGGGTAAAGAACCTTTTTCTAACATTCTACCTAAACATCCTCTGACACAGCTTCTATTCCCTCAGGTCCTGTTGCTGGTTGCCAGAGAGAAGAGATCAGTGCCTGCCCCAACACTTCCCTTGTGAGGAAGTTGTATACAATGATGAGATTTCCCCTCAGTCTCCTCTTCTCCAGGCTGAACAGATCAAGTGATCTCAGCTGCTCCTTATGTGGCTTCCCCTCCAAGTCTTTCACCATCCTCATTGCCCTCCTTTGGAAGCAATTTTGGGTACAATACTTGCAGTAATTTCATGACTGCTCTCACACTTGACATCTATTTGAAAGCTACTGTGCACTAATTCAGTGCTAACTTCTACTGCATTGACCACAGCAGCCACAGCTAACTTCCACTACAACTGGCCTGGGATAATAGGCAATAAGACTAACCAGACGCTTAAATACACTCCACATTTCAGGTTTTGTCCCACTTTCAAATCTGAAATTGTTATTAAGACAACTTGGAAGAAACAAAAAAAACTTTAAAAAATTTAACTGAACAATTTCTAGGAGCCTCTTGGTGGTCAATAATGAAAAAGGATTTACTACCATCCCACTGTAACAGGACTGCAGTTTCTCAGGAATTAATACCTTCAAGCATGTGACAGCAGAGGAAAGGCTTCCTTTCCTTTTAATATGTATGAGAGATTACATAACACTGCTTTTATTTCATTTTTGTTACAGTAACATATGAAAATCTTGAAGTGTCTCAAAACCAGCATACTTCTGCAGTAACTGAGAATTTAACACTGTTATTTCCAAAGCTGGACTCTTTTTACTTTTTGCTCTTTGAAAAAAACCCAACATAGAATTCTGCATATAAAACAACATCTAAAGATTATTTCCATCCAATAAAGCAGAAAAGCTTTATTTTCATCACTGCTATTATAGCCCTTATTCCTGATATAAACACACAAGACAGAGAAAAAGAATTGACTTTCAGATGGCTTCATGAACTTGTTGTACTGATGTTTTGAAAATTACTTCTCTCCTCACTAAAGCAAACTATATGTGCTGTATAACCCACTTAACATTAATGAATACTAAGATTTTTTCCACAGAAAATAGCAGTACCTTCACAGACAATATTGTAGCTTTTTTGTTTACAAATAATACAAACGAATATCAGGTTGCATTAGACTTCATGCCAGGCTTATTTATAGCAATGTGCAACTGTTGAAAATGTAGGACAAAATAAAGCTATTTTAATAAGCGATAAAATCTTCACAATTAATTTTTCAAATCACAGTTCTTGGATAGCAGCTAAGTTTTATACTGAAAAAAAAAGAAGTTATCCATGGCTTCACTGAGACAGCCATTTACTGGCCAATTCCTGTCTTTGCTCACACCAGGTAAAGAACAATGCTCCACCATCCACCTAAGAGTCACAACAGCTTCCACACCACTCAGCAGGTCTAAGGCACCAATTACAGGCAAGTAGCCCAATGCTTTAAAAACAGTCAACACAAAATGGTTTCTAATCCACCCATTTGCACTGTACTTGTTTGCCATCATGCACATAATCTATTATAAGCATTCCACAAAAAAACATAACCCTCATGACTATTGACAATTCCAAGTTGCAGGTATGTTCAGACGCTGGATACTTGAAAGAGAATATGTTACACTTAACTAGAAAAAAAAGATTAAAAAAATTAAAAATCAACAAAATAAAAAAGTTAGTGCAATCTTGAAACTTGCTACTGACCCTCTTCAGCTGCTGCTGTAACTGTTCCCTCATGGACTCAGGACAATTATCAAGCTGCGTCTTCTGCTCGGAGTAAAGCTCCTGAAGCCTCTCTAGTTTTTCCCTCTCAGCATCAAGTTTTAATTTTTCCTGAAGCATGAACCAGAAAATAAAAACAATTACCTTCAAACCCAAGCAGTTGTTAGTGATTATGACGGTGCGTGGCAAAATGTTAACGAACGGTTGAAGCATGTGGGTCAAAGACAGAAACCTCTTGTTAGTTGAAATGCAATGGTGGGATGCAAAATTATTGAAACAAAACATTCATCATTTTAATGGGGTGATTAATTCTCTCCCTTGTCACTGTGTTTTGTACACAGGCCTGGATGATGCCGTTAAAGCCAAAAACAGCCCAAACACTTGTCTCACCTAATGAAAAAAAAATAAGGAAATGGTAGCCATGTTAGCGAGGTAACTGATGAAGCTGAGAGAGAAAGGGTAGCTTTTAGAAAGCAAAATGGATGGAAAATGACTGTCGTCTGGCAGTGAGGGGGAAATGGATCTTCCCAGGAGAACGAATTACATGCCTGTGTGGCTCTATACAGATAAGTACATTTAGCAAGCAGAGAAAAAACAGAATGAGCCAGAGATTTATGAAGGAATAACTCTGGGCCAGAAAATCCTCTTGCAGCAGAAATGTCAAGTGATACAGCAGATTTGCTTCAGGATACAGGAACTGTAACCTGTTCATGGGGATCAAAGGGGACAGCTTCACCTCTCTGTTCTCCTCCAGCTAGTTAGGTTTTCCTATCATTCCATTCAAGCAGCAGGACTCAGCACGCTGCTTCTCATCCTCCAAAGTTTCTGACCTTTAAATCTAAATACTTCATGGTTTACTGTGCAACACTACTCCAAAGACTGGCTGCAGATCACTGAAAGCTATCTTGTAGACTATTATTTTTCTATGCACCAGAGTCTGGGAACCAATAAATCCAAGCACAGAGCATTTTTTCCATGCCCAACACAGTAGATGCATTTTTTTCAATTGAACAATAACTGCAAAAAAACCCAGTATGCCTGATATGCTAGGCATAAGTAATCAACTAAGTCCCTGAAGCCTGGCTCTCTGCTACCTTCTTGAATCATACTGGTATAGGTCTCTTCTACCTCTTGTTCTGTAGGAATGCATCTCCTCTCAGATGGTCTCTAACCCTCTTTAATACTCAAATATTAACAGTATTGGCCCCAAAATTTCAGCAACTTCCATCTCCTCCAAGAACAGCTGAATTCTGTTACAGCAACTACTCATTTCTCCTCTTTCCAGTCCCAACTAATATTTAATTTTAAAATCAAATGTGTGGTGCAGCAGGTGCTATATGATCACACACTGCATCACCCTTATGGCACATGCCATAGGAGAAGGAACTTCTTTCAGTATACAGTACTTGTCATTTCAAACTGTGGGAAGGTCTTTCTCCAAAGCCTCCTCTTCTTTGCTATGCCTGACAAGGTTCTCAAACCCTTATGCATGGAAGAGGCATTATAATAAGCATATATTAGCTGCCTGATTTCCTTATGATTTTATCTCTAAATCTGAGTGGGATCAGGGGCTGGAATTTAGCTTTCCCGGTATTTAAACACAACAACAGGAAGCATTTTTATTCAAGTCCAACATCAACCAGATCTCCAGCTCCATTATGTTCATTTACACGTGCAGCTTTTCAGTTCATACAATCAGATGAACAAAATGCTGAACACAATTTTAATTTTTTTAAGCTTGTGAAAATGAGCAACTGAACTGGCATATTCAATTACTGGACTCTCTGTACTAGCTTCTGGTTTACAAAAGCAGCAGCAGCAGGGATTAGAAATACAGAGCATGTAGCATGTGCAAGCTGTACAATGAGGGAGAAGCATGCAACTCCTAAGTGGTTGCTTCTAGAGCTCTGTCCCCAAGAAGTCCCATTTGCTGAATCATGTTTACTTCCAACACAGAAGGAAATCTATGAATAAACTGGTAGTTCCCCCCCTCACAAACTTGACTGTCCATTTAACATTCAACCTACGGTCTACCACATTATTTCACACTTTCCTTTTCTGCAACCTAGCCATCCAAAGCAGCAAGGACTTCTGTGACCTTAGCTGCAGTATCGTGCCTCTGAAGCTATTAATAGCCCTCTAAATGTCTATGCACTGCAATAAGCATGCTTATTCATTAACAAGCAAGTCAAATCTCCAGTGTGAGGAGACATCATCAGCCAGTATAAAACTCTCCGAGAATCCTCCCTGAGATACTGTTACTTCCCTCAAGAAACTAGAAATGTATTCCTTTGAGGCTGAAAGTGATACTCATCTGGTCTATTTATAGCATAGGAAGTGCTAACATCCCACCAAACTGGCTCCCTTCAAAATGTGCAGTCTTAACAGGAAATATCACTTTCAGCAATGAGAGGCATTATATGTTTTGCAGCTGTGGAGTTAAGTTCGTTGACATCTCAGGCTGTGCGTTGGTAATGTCCATTTAATTCACAAAAAGTAATTTGATAAATAAATGAACCACGATAATTTTTTTCAGACAGTCTTTTCTATAAATGAATCAAGGCAAGTTCTCCTGGAAGGGAAAAGATTTATAACTTTGCAAGCCAAGTGCAAGATGCAGTCAAGGCAGGTCTGCAGCTGATTCTGCGAGCTGTTTGCTCAAGAGCAGCCAGCAGCAGAGCTGTGAACAGAACCCGTGTGCTCCCACTGCTCATCCTCATTTAGCTGCATGAGCTTGTACTTGTTAAATATTCCTCTGCAGACAACCACTTCCCAGACCCAGTGCTGACGCCAGAGGCACAGGAACTGCAGTCTGGCTGAATTCTTAACATCCTGTTTCCAGAGAAAAGTAATACAACATCTGGTCTTCGCCTACTGCCCAACTTGCGCTATCATCTGCCTCTAGATGCATGTTAAACAAACTTGAGGTCAGCCAGGATACACAGCAGGACTGAGCTGTGGTTTGATGATGCTGTGGTAATGTTTGGATCTGTTTTAGAGGATTTCTGAAAATTGTGAAGGATAGCAGTAGAAAGAATTGATGTGTGACACTGTTCCCCAACAGCACAGACATGGGATGTCAGAAAAGCACACATGGTATGAACAGAGACCATAAATGATCAACATGGCTCACAAAAGGAAATAAATCTTGAGATCTGGTAGAAATGATTTCAGGTCAAAGAAAGAGAAAAAAAAATAATATATATATAGCACATCCACCCTCCCAAAAGAATACACAAACAACAAAAAAAACCCTCCAAAAACCAAGGTATGTGCAAATAAACCTACAAGCCATAAACAAATGAAAAGAAAAAGAAAACAAAAACAAAACAAAAACAAAAATCTGAATGCCTTCCCATACAGTAGGCTCTTATACTTTCAATGTTCCAGTCTTAAGTAGGATCTTCCTCAGTCCAACTCACCTATAAAACATTGTGTTTTAAGGTAGGAACATCTCATAACCCACACTAAGCTTCAGGCATGCACACCCTGTCTCTCAGTATGGAAACAGCTAGTCTCACGAATCTCACAGGTTTCTAAGAAATAAGGAGAAGCACATGCAGTTCTTTGAAAAGCCTCTCCATCTCATCTTCATGCTTGCACCTCTAGCCAAACTTTTTCTTTACACTGCAAAAGAACATCCCTCCCTTTCTCCTACTGCCTGCCTACCGTGGCAGCTAAAAGTGGAGGACAAAAAGTAGACTACAGAAATGATTCCTTTCTCCTTGGAAGTGGTGTGGTGCAACAGGGTTTGTCTACTCAGTAAACTATTTTGGAGAGTAAGTGAAAAGCAGGGAAATTTTACTTTAACAACTCGCTGACTAAATTGGCCTAATTCTTGCCATGCATTTGTAAGAAAAACTCCCTAAAAAAAAGCAGGCAGCGAAACTATCTGCTCTTCAGGGGATATTAATTGAAAGGGGTGAGTGGGACACTTGGGGAAAGTGTTAAACCTGAAGTCTACCCACTCTTCCAGCACTCTTGCAAACTGAAAGCAATTCCAGTACTATAGCTGATACTAATCAGACCACATCTAACTGATTAAATAACCCCACTGAAATGAAACACTTCCCTGTGCAAACCTCTTCTGTATTTTCAGACTACTCTTTCTTGCATTCCTTGATCTCTTTCAGAACAGAAGCATAACACTTGCCACAATTCGTTTGTCGAATCCTTGCCGGTTTCGTGACAGAAGCCATTAAGAGAAAAAAGTATGCCAGGCATATGAAAAGACTAACTGATTAAATAACCCCACTGAAATGAAACACTTCCCTGTGCAAACCTCTTCTGTATTTTCAGACTACTCTTTCTTGCATTCCTTGATCTCTTTCAGAACAGAAGCATAACACTTGCCACAATTCGTTTGTCGAATCCTTGCCGGTTTCGTGACAGAAGCCATTAAGAGAAAAAAGTATGCCAGGCATATGAAAAGAAAAGAAGACAGAAGCATAAAACTTGCCACAATTTGTTTGTCGAATCCTTGCGGGTTTCGTGACAGAATCCATTAAGAGAAAAAATAAAAAGTATGCCAGGCATATGAAAAGA